GACATTTAGTAAATTAAGGCCTTACAATAGCCTGTTACAATCAACGTGAGCTGGGCAACCGGCTCTCTAGCATCGAGGCCCTATCTACTAAAGGAAAATGTGCTGCCCACTATGGCTACCGTAGAGTATTCTTTAATCTATTAATTTAGCAGAGACGTCTATAGCACTTGACTGTGTTGTTTAAATTCTACCTAACACCTGTGATACATGTATTTTTGGCTACCCGTTGACTATTCTGAACAAGAGTAAGAGCAGTATATTTTACGGCTAAGCCTGCAGAATTGGTGTGATTCACCAATGCTCTGATAAATTACAGTAGGGTCTATTATATTCAGTCAGCAACAAATAAACTCAGATAAACATTGAGAAAGTTTAGAAATGTACCACACGGATATCAACAACATACCTCCTCTAAGTAAATATGATTTAAATAGTAACATAAAATATTCCTTGAACTGACACAATAAAATCCAGAGATCCAAAAAAATAGCAGGACACATCCCAGAGTGAATGATAATTTCCTAAGTGAACTTTGCGAGCGGAGAATGAATCACTCCACTCTCAGGACACACGGGGGAGGGAAACAGTCGCTCACGGATCTGCACACTCAATCCCATGCTGTCCACACGGAGGGCCCTCCCTCCCACCACGTGGCCATTTCATGACGGGACCAGCTTCTGTTTTGCCAGGTGTCTCTTGTTCTCACAAAGATGGAAAACATTTCGGAAAAGGATAGAGGGGTGCTGTCCTTGGCTCTTTTTAACTGACCTTACCGATTCTACCAACCTTCAGCTCTAAATACTCAAGCTTGGAACTCACATAGAAGTAAGTCTAACATTTCATTAAAAGTTATGATGAGCCTTTCAAACAAGGCAGGAAAACCCCCAAACCAAACCCTTTCCTTCTTCCCCCTGAGGATGACAGAGGTGCTTCAATGCCACCATTGTCTACGGGACATTAATCTGTAAAGAGAAGCCGCAGTCCCTTACTGTCATGAAGCATGGAGACCTGAGCCTAGGAGTCGCCTCTGGGGATTTGAGAGGAAGAGCAAGAACCCAGAGCTAAGGAGCTGGAAACGCCACCAAGAATCTGTGGTTAGAGCTTGCTTCTTCCCTCAAGATAAGAAGTCATGTACACTGCGAACTTGAAAAATTAACCCAGAATAGAGATAGAACACAAGTTGTGCTTCAATGGACCAGTTCGTGGAACACACACACACACACATTTTTTTAATGTGTGATTTTGACAAACACAGGTGATGGCCCAACTTCGGGGAATGAAGTCCTGGGTTTCTATGCCACCCCCTATTCTCTTTCCAGTGATCTTGTCCCAGCGTCTCCTC